TAAGGCAAGATAAGGAATGTGAGCCAGAGAGAACAGGTAGCATGCGCTTGGCAGTCCCCGATGCTCACAGATGATACAGGATGGCCTAGGAGGCCCCACAGGCCCAAATCCACCATGCCTGCTCCACACAGGCCAAGACACTATTTGCCTGTCCCAGGCACAGGCCTAGCCTTCTAGGCAGAGTGCAACATGCATACTCTAACCCCCCACTGATGTATACAATGTATATGAAGAAATGTTCTATACTAAGAATTAAAACATATTCTACAAAGTTACTTTTTGGGGGACAAGTACCATTTTCCTGAAAGTTGTTTTGTTTTTAGAGACAAAGACATATACAGGGAAGAAAGAAAAAATATTGATTTGTGTTCCACTTATTTATGCATTCATTGGTTGTTTGCTTTATGTGCCCTGACCAGGGATTGAACCCACAACCTTGGCATATCGGGACAACCCTCTAACCAAATGAGCTACCTGGCCAGGGCCTCTTGATAGTTTTGATTCTTAGTATCTCAATCTTAGGGACTAGAAATAAAAGGGAAAATTACATATTAAGAAAAAATTCAATATGATTATTTTGAAAGGTGAACTACATCAAATCCCTGCTTACTGAACCAGTTTATAAAATTCCAAAATTTGTATATACCTCACGTGTCTGCCTACTTCAGGGTAAAGGAACTAGGATCTAGCTACAGGAAGAGAATGTTAGTGTCAGCAGGTGGCAAAGAAAGGGGCGGTGCTCCTAGAGGCAAATAAAGGAAATAAAATATTTTTTCTGATTGAACATCCTCTTACCTTCGGCCCTGATCCAATCGGCCATGAGGGCCCCGAGCAGGAAATCTGTTCAGGTGGCTCAGATGAAGTGTGTGGGATGTTTGGAAGAGACTCAGAGCTGCAGAGAGGAAATGGCTGGTGACTCCAAAACTCTAAATATCCAACTCCCCTGTCCCTCTCTCAGTGCACAGAAGTACTCACTTCTATTCACAGAGCAGCAACCTGACAGTTACAAGTCCATTCATCCAGAGTATCCCATAAAGCGACACCCCAACATCCATGCCACTGGTACTCACGCTTTTGAGGAAAGAGTGGGGGAATCCGATGAGGCTGGAAGATCAGCTGGGGCTGAGCACCCAGAATCCCTTGCTTCTGGCCCAGGGCTGCCACATGTAGAAGGGGGGGTGCTGGGGACTTCAGTAGGGGCTGCAGGGCAGTAACCAGGAAATTCAGGGCATCTCATAGTTGACGTGCCCATCCTCTCAACAAAAGTAAAGTTCGTGCCCAGCTGTCAGGACCCAGGGGCTTCCCTCCCTCCCTTTCCAATGCATGTGACCAGGAGAGAGAAATACCTGATTGGAGAGCGTTTGCACCTTGACAGCATTCCAAGGCACTGCCTGGCCTGGGTTGTATGCAGCCTTCACCAGCACCTTCTCACCCAGCTGGGGCAGCCGGCCCTTCACCACACTGCCAGCACATAAGCCTAGTCAGGAGACCCTGGCCAAGCCACCCTAACTACCCCAATGAGCCCTGCCCATCAAGATTTCTCACACCTTGCATAAACACAGGAAAGCAATGGCTTTAGAGGAGCCCCAAGAACATGGTGACAGAACAGAATCAAACAAGCATTTCCAAAAAGAGACCAGCCTCAAACCCACCTTAGCTGAAAAAAGACCTCTTCATCCACCACCCCAAAATAGTCGTGCAAGCTGGTGACAATGCCAGTGAAGACCCGCTGCTTCTCCCCACCCTGCAAGAGAAGAGTGCAGTTCAAACAGGGAGCACTTACCCACATTCCGCCATTAGCATCTCATCTCTACACACACACCCCGCCCAGCTCAGGCAGAATACTGCATGAAGATTCACAGGGAAGGAAGCATACAAGTTTGGTGGACATAATCCATCTTTTTGCCTGGGGCGGGGGGGGGATGCTTATTCTTGCACCACAAGCTTCTTCTAGGATTCCCAGTTATTTTATTCCAAGGAGCACTCTAGAGATTTCCCTAGAGCCAAAATTCCCCAGTCAGAGGTGTCTAGTCACCTCCATACTGGCCCAGGACAGGCGTGTCAGGAAGGATGAACACTGTGATATAAATACGAAAGCATCAGGCATCCATGCATGCTGAGTGGTCCCAAGCCCTAAAACTCACTAGAAAGGATGCCCAACCTACCTGAAGGTGCCTGGCATTTTGGGACAGGTCTGTGGCCACAGGAGGAGTGAGCAAACCAGGAGGAGGACCCAGAAGAGATGTTGAAGCTGTGCCTGTGGGGACAGAGAAGCAATCTCCAGGAACTGCACCTCCACTGTTCAGCACTACAGTCAACTAGGGCAGCGATTTTCAACCTTTTTCATCTCGTAACACACAAACTAATTACTAAAATTCTGCAGCACACCAAAAAATTATTTTTTGTCAATCTGACACACAAAAATAAGTATAATTTTTATTCATTCACACCAGATGGTTATTGTCATTTTTTTCAATTTGACAAACACCGTGTTGACTGCTGTCATTTTTTTGACAATCTAAAGCAGCGGTTCTCAACCTGTGGGTCGTGACCCCTTTGTGGGTTCAACGACCCTTTCACAGGGGTCGCCTAAGACCATCGGAAAACATATATAATTACATGTTGTTTTTGTGATTAATCACTATGCTTTAATTGTGTTCAATTTGTAACAATGAAAATACATCCTGCATATCAGATATTTACATTACGATTCATAACAGTAGCAAAATTACAGTTATGAAGTAGCAACGAAAATAATTTTATGGTTGGGGGTCACCACAACATGAGGAACTGTATTAAAGGGTCGCAGCATTAGGAAGGTTGAGAACCACTGATCTAAAGGAAAAGAGGTCGCTGCCCCTGACTCCATAGTTAGATATTGCATGTTTCAACCGCTGCAGCACCCGGGTTGAACATTGCTCAACTGGAAGACACGGCAAACTCAAAAGGCAAAGTGGCTCCAAGCAACACTTCCACAGGGTTTCACTGGCAGCCACTGTGGTCAGCTCCTATCTTCCTAGGCAACATCAGCAGCAAATTGCACTCCACCAAGGAAAACCCAAAAGCCCTCTTTTTAAAGACCCAAAGCGCATCTTTCCCAGTGTGAGCCCGGGTAGGGATAAAGGTGATCACCTGAGAAGTTACGTCCCCCTGGAAGTGGGTTGATCCGCTGACGCTTAAACTGGGACATTGGGATTGCTGTCTTCTTTCAGAGTCTCGGGGGGGAAAAACCTTCAATCAGAAAAGAAATAGATTAGCAGCTCATAGGGGAATTTTCCATCAACCCCAAAACAGGAATTAAGTATCTTGAGGAGAGTAGGGAGAATGAATGGAGATGGTGAGTGAAGGGAATATAAAGAGTAGCAGAAAATGAAGAAATTACATTGTTCCAGTTTGCCCTCACAAACAACCCCGCGGCGGGTCATGCTGCCATGCCATCTTAAAGAGCCAACTGAAGCTCGGAGACTGACACTCCCCGAGGCCGAACAACCCGTTAGTGACTACACTGGGACTCACACCCGGTCACCCGACCATTCAGCGCTGCTCTCGCTATGCCACGCCACCCCAGATGGGTGGGGGCTGGGGGCTGGAAAGAGCCCGGAGACGTTCATTCATTCAAATACATCCGCCAAAAAGCTCCACGCAAGGCCCAGAAAAATGAAGGAGGCGGCCGCTAGAGAGAAGATCGCGTGGGTCCTCTCCCCGGAAGCCCGGCCCGCTGCCACCCGCCCCCCCTCCCCGGCCTGGTAGGTAGCAGGGTGGCCCGGCTGACCGCGAATCCGGCTGCGCACCCGCCCTCCCGCTCCCGCGCTCCCCGGCCCTTGGCTCCTGCCTCAGGGGCCACTGGGGCCGGACCTCCCGGGCCGGGTCACAGCCAGGCCACCGTGGAAAGACTGAGACGCACTGTTTCTCCTCCTCCCGCCCGCCCGCCCGCCCCCAGGGCCGAGGCCGTTGCCAGGGAGACGGGACTTGCAGTCCAAGGGGGGCTCGGCCCCTTCCACGCCCGAGCATCTTCGCTGGCGGCCCTCGCAGCCCCCCGATTGGGGGAGGAGCGAAGAGGCAAAAGGGTGGCGGGGGCCAGCCGACCCACCTGCGGGCCAGGGCCGCGACACCGGGGGGACAAAGACACCCGGAACCACCACAGCCGCTGCAGCCGCCGCCACCGGAAGCGCCTCTCCGGAAGCGCGACCACTAGTCGGAAGCTGCCACTCTCCCGGATATAGTCCCTCCCTCCGCTCCACCGATCTCACCCTTCCCCCACGCGAGCCTGCCGTGGGGCGCCTACCCGGGAGCGGAAGTACGCCTTCCCCGATCGGATGCGCGTTAGGGAGTTGCGCCGGGGTGGTGTTCTCCCTTAAGTGTCCCATTAGAAAAATGAGCATCAGAGAATTGGTTCTTAGTCCAAAGAGAGCTAAAGTTGGACCCCAAACCTAAGAAAGCACCGCACCTTGCCTCATTCTGGCAGATCCCAAGTTTGCAGCCAGTAGAGAAGCAAACCCTTCTGACCAGAGGAGGAGGAGGCCTGTTAGTGGCTAATTTTAGGAGACATTCCTATGTCTGACTCAAGCCAATGACCCCCTCCCCAACCCTGGCCTTCCATTTAGGGCAACACACACCCACACTTCCCATCTACTGGTACCTGCAGATGATGCTTTTCCCCTTTCTCAATTAACGAAGAGCTAGGAATCTAACAAGCTATATAGTAAGATAAACCACCACAATATTTAGGTAGACATTTACAGAGTTCTCATAGACTTTAGTCTTCACAACAATGCTGGGGGTAATGAAGTCAGGAATTAGTGCCATCATTCTCAGATATGAAACCTGAGGCCTCAATGAAATGACTTGCTCAAGGTCTTGTTGCTAATCAATGGCCGTTTTAGTCCACATTGCCAATTCCAGCCCCCCCCTTGTCCCCTGATCTTCCCAACATCCCTCCAGTCTATCCACCCTCCAACACCCATACCCTCCCCTTCCCTATTCATGTAACATTCACAAAGCTCTTTAAGATAGTTTAATTTTATTTTATCCTCAAAACAAACCTGTGAGGTAGGTAGGTCAAGCATCATTATACAATTTGGGAGATTAAGTGGGAAGCTATGGCTCAGATAAGTTAAGGGATTTTGTGAAGGTGTAAAAGCTAGTGTGGGCCCCTGGTTTCAGCTCTGATGTGTAAAGGCTAGTAGGAAGCAAAACAGCTAACAAAGGTTACTCTGCTATCCCCCGTTTTCCCTAACCCTCTCATTCCTGGTGCAGTCTTCGAGGGCTCTGCTCTATGGGCAAGACTTAAAGCAAAGACACCCTTCCCTGTCCTGGGGCTTCCAATACAGGTATGCGGAGCAAAGCAGGACTCCAGGATCAGTAACTGTCCATTGAGGAATGAAGGTCAGTCCCATCCTTCTGCAATTACCTCACCCAGAAGACCAACCTTTTGAGTGTGTGATTCAGGAGAGATGATTGGATCCAATAAGTTCACAACAGAGATACTGTACATGTATATCATTTTGCATACATACATATCTGCAACACACTGGACCCCAACAGATCACCATGCCAAACATGCTCCATGGATGCCTGATAAATTAGTGCAGGGATTTCTGGCAGTCAGAAAGGCGCCCAGGAAATGCCACACCTTGGGGTCTCCCAGGGAACCAGGGCTCCTCTGCCAAGCTGCTCAGAGGAGAAAGACTCGGCTCTCGCCTCAGAGAGAAGGGGAGGCATCAGCAGCTTTTCCTGGCAGTGCCCCAAAACAGCAACGGGGCAAAAGGCAAAGAAGACTTCACTGCACACCCCTCCAGCCAGCGTCATGTCCCTGCACCAGAGGTCTCTGAGACAGAAAGGTTTTTTGCTCGTTGCTTCTTCACCACTAACGATGACATAAAGGTCTTCCTGAGGAGACGACATGGAAGGTCCCTTGACTCAACTCTGTGAAAAAAGAAAGGAGGCTTAGACTCGGAGAATGGATCGGCATTGCGTATCTGCGGTGGGGAGCCTGGGAGGTTAACTGACATGATGCTTCTTCCTCCTGGGGAATTATTCAGTGTAACTGCCCGCCCATCATCCACTGTGGAATCCTTTGTCTGTGTGCCCCCCACCACACACACACACACACACACACACACACACACACACACGGGAAGGTGGCCTAAGTTTCAGCCTTGGGAGTTAAGGTCTTGCTGGAATGGCCTAAGGAGATCCCCCATATTCTAGTACTGGCTCTGCCACTGATTCATCATGTGGCCTCAGGAAAGCGCCCGCCCCCCCTTTCCCGCCCCCCCCAACCTCATCTGTCAATGGGGAGTTTAAACTACTTCCTGTTTCTTCCAGCACCCTCTCCAAGACTGTTTATGTCACTCAGATTTCAGAGGATCAAAGAGAACTAGGAGTACAATCTCTCATCCTGGTCCATCGGGCTCCACCCTCTGCCCTAACTGAGCTGGGCCACAGTACCCACCTGAAAGCAGGGCCATTAGGAGGGGCAGGAGGCTCAGGGTGTGGAGGGCTCTTCCAGCGAATCCGATTGAGAAGGACCTTGACCTTGTTCCAGTGGGAGAGATCCCGCTGAGCAGAGAATGAGGGGGTCACCACAGAGCCCCACCCCACAACATACCCCATACTACCAGAGGCAGCTGTCACCACAGTCCGGAGAAGTCACCTGCTCCAAACACGAATCCTCTCATTTTCCCAGAGTTTCTGGCCTTTAGGGTATCCACACAAGCCAACCACCCGCACCTCCACCTGTCACCTGCCCCACACATATCCATCACCTACCTTGTGACTCTGGGAGGACTGAAAGGTGTGAGCGGGTTCTGCTGGGACTCTGGACAGCCTGAAAGGGTTGGCACTGGGCACCCCTACCTTTGGGGGTGAAGCTCCTTTTTCGCCTTCAGAGAAAGAGAATCGGGTTACCCAGGGCCAGGAACAGGAGCACACCCACCAAGCCCAGGGCTCAGGGGGTCTGCCTGGGGCCCTGGGCAGGCAGAGCACAGAGGGAGACACAATTGCCCCATACCTGTCTCCCGAGTCTGGCTGAGCAGCTCCCATGACCCCCGCACCTCACTGCCTGGGGCATGAGAGGGTGGAGGTGAAGGGGCCACAGTCGACTCCTCCTTCTCTACAGGGCCCTGCGTTCAGGAGAGAAGGGCAGTCAGAGCCTGAGCAGAGACCTGGGCTGTTCTGAAGGAAGCCCTGGTGCCAGGGGTCCCACCCCCCTGTGCCTCCCCCACTCACGTGCCCACCCAATCGCCTGGCTGCCATGTGGCTCGCTCACCCCAGGGGGCCTCTGGGCTTGCAGTTGCAGGTGGAGTTGCTGCAGCCTCACCATCTGCTCCAGCACCAGGCACAGGTGTTCCAGGTAGTGAAGACCCTGCCCAGGAGGGCAGGCCCCGGCTTCAGGCCCCATGCCCCTCCCCTGTAGGGCAGAGTAAGGGAGGGGAAACTTGGACTCAGTCAGACTCCCTCCCTTGGCAGCCATCAGATGGGAGCAGAACAGTCAGGGAAAGGAGGATCATGCAACCAACTGGCCTCCCAATGCCAGCCAGCCGTGGTGCCAGGCAAACCTCATACCTGCCCACCTCCGCACAGCTGGGAGTGGGGTGAGGCCCGGAGCTGAGACACAACCCATGATTAGGGACAGAAACGCCCCACCCCGAGAGAGCTCTGGGGAGAAGAAATGGGGAGCCCCAGCAGCCCCCGGTGAAAGGGCCATCGCCACCCACTCTTCACCCAGCCTGAGAGGGGCCACTCACCACCTCTGCTTCTCCCAGGCCTGCCTCTAGGTCAGTTTCTGCGTTGGTGGCCCCCTGGTCCCTTGCTCCAACAGGGGGCATTTCATACTCAGGCTTCCTTGTAGGCTTCCGGGAGCGGTGGTGGTGTGACAAGCTGGCAGGTGAAGTCGGGAGCTGGCTGGACCGCTCCAGCACCCGCTCTAGCTTCCGGCTGGCCAGGAGCCGGCCCCAGTGGGCAGAAGGCTCCATGGGCAGGACCAGGGGCTCAGGGCTCCCCACGGGCTCAGAGTCCAGGGAGTCCTGAGAAAGGCGTGGAGAGATGGCCCAGGAGCTGTCCCCAACGGCCATCTCCACTCCCGAGTCCAGGAAGGCCAGTTTGGGAAGCGGCACCTGCGTCCGGAGACCTTTCAGCTCGCCATCCCCCTCCCAGGAGTCCGATGAGCACTCTCCGCAGGCGTCCGGGATCCGGCGGTAGGAGCTGGTGACTCCAGGCACTACACACCCTCGTGCCAGCTTCTGGCCAGCCCCACCTGCAAGGAGAGGGATTCAGGCCGGGCAGGCTGCCCCCACCGCCCCGCATTCCTGGCAGCTGAGCGCATTCCGCGGGGAGGCGTGGCTGGGCCACAGGTGAAGGGAGGAGCCTGCAGGGCACAGCCCCGCCCACCCCGGCAGCCCCGCCCACCTCGGCAGCCCCTCCTGGAGCCGATCGGCGGAATTCCCGCCGCAGGAGTTGTTAGTGGTCACAGCCAGCAGGGGCCGCGTGGTGGGCTGTTGGGGAGGGTCTCCTTTCATCAGCCCCTGGGACGGCCCCTCTTCCTTTGAGGAGGGGGTGCTTCCTCCCGGGGGCCCCTGCACTCCTGCCCCTGGGTCTGCCTAGGACCTCCAAGCCCTAAGTGGGGAGCTGAAGCCTCGCCCACTGCTCCCCAAGGCGGGGTGTGCCTGCACCCCCTCAGGGCGAGGGGAAGGGCACAGAGACCGAAGCCTGGGCTGCACCCTGGCACCGGGAGGCTGAGGAGCTCTCCTGGAGCTGCGGGGGGGGGGGGGGGGGGTATTTAAAGTAATAGCCCCGACCAGGTGGGGCTTTAGTTCTTTTAAGTGAGAAAGAGTGAGGACTCTGTGGAGAGATGAAAAGAAAAAGCTTAAACAGAAGAAAGGGAAGTAGGGGGGTAGGAGGAGCCGTCGCCTTGTCACTCACTGTCACCTGGTGCCAGGCCCTCCTACCATCTGTGCGCCCCCAGTTGGTACTGAGGTGCAGAAACTGAGACTGGCGAGAGGTGGAGGACTCTCTCACGTCTCTCCAGAGCAGCCCCGGGGCCGGGCAGAGAGAGGGGGCCACCAACACACACACACACACACACACCCGCGGCACAGGGAGAGGGGCCGCCGCCGCACAGGGGCTGTCACACGGCTGCAGGGGCGGGGCCGGCGGAGCGGGACCCAGAGCGGGACCCAGAGCGGGGGTCCGAGGGGAGAGGGACGGAGGCGCCGACGACTTAACGCCCACACTCAGGGTTTCCCAGGGCCAGGCGCGGTCACTCGACCGTCCACGGGGCGAGGTCGCGCGCCCGGGGCGCAGTCGGGGTCGGGGGTGGGGGTCGGCGCTAGGGCGGAGGCTCTGGCCGCCTGGGGGTGGCGACTCACCCCGGCCGCCGCCCAGCGGCTCCACGGCG